ATTTAAATATGTTACAAAGTGTTATCTTAAATATTGAAATCCGGATAGTTTCCATTAAATATCCTAAATATGACCATTTTTGTAATCAAATACTATTATGTCACAGTTTTTAATGTCACAGAATATTGCCACTGTATTAAATACGCATGTTATTATGATACATTTAACATACAGACTGGTACATTTTGTATCATTGTTGTAAATACACTGGTTGTTGTCTTTGGTGTCAATTACACACTATACTATTTGTTTTGAATTATTTATCACCGGTTCATAAACGCTATATCTTGTTAAACGTTCTGATATATATAAATGGCCATTCCATGTGCGTAAACACATGTTGATAATTATACACATAGTCAAACTTCTTATCTTATTAATGTTATTAATCAGAATGTTGTCAACACTAGTAAGTTAACTTATATAAAACAGTCGGTATGTATGCATGGCTTTAGATATGTATATAACATCTGTTTGCTCTCTATCTTGAAGCAGACTTACAACATATAGAGATATGTACTACCTTAAACAGCGACGTCGGAACTCGTCCTTCCACGATATTTTTACGCACTCCTTTTGCGGACTTTTCTGATTAGTTTCACGTCGTCTAAACGCGAATGACTTAGATCTGAATCTCATTACAACCCCGTCCATGTCTGTTAGGCTATTGATGAGGTTAGTGCACGCTAATCCATAAAGAATAACACACGCTGAGTGCCAAGCTCTACATGCTTGTCGGTGCCAAGCTTCCCTCACACAGACGCGGATGTGTAAAGCACATGTCCTGACAAATCAGGACTGATCAAAACGGGGATGGGAACATCATCCTACAGCCTCTGTCACTTCAGTTATTCATAGCAAATTAACTCGTGTGACGTAGCCCTGACCCCATTTGACCTCTCACCTCTAACGCGCCAGCACGCTGATGCTGGTACGGATCAATGGCAATGGTGTAACGACTTTAAAGACCGTCCACACACAAATAACGTAGAAATCAAACCCCAATACCAGAATAGACATTTAGGAGAAATAATGTGACACAGGTGTTTAATAAAGTCTGACACTTCATTTAAAGGCAAATACAGTTGTCGTGTCACAAGTAATATACACACAACGTGAACGGGTACGTATATGTACATAGTTTCCACTGAACACAATTCTGTGTGAGGAAGGCGAATAGCTGTCGTTATGGATGCTTCAATATACACACCTGTACACAATACTCAGGGGTGAGAGTAAATGTTACGCACCTGTATAGAACAAATCTATATATAACAGATCTGTTAAATACCCAGGTATACAGCCGCTTGTATAGAACACACATGCTTATAACTAAGGTATCGAACATCTGTATATAACACACATGTATATAACACATATGTATTTAAGCATTGAACTGTTTTGTATGGTATTTATGATCTATTTG